GGCCAGAGAACGTATTTAGACCCATTTATTTTGTATTTTTTCCCCAACCAGCCCCTTTAAACTATATATATATAGTCAATAGTATTTTTGTCCTGCATTAGATAGAATAAACGTAAAATAGTAAATGAGTGCAAAGTGAAAAGTACTTGAAAGTTTTATTTTAATTTTTTAGAAAATAACACTTATGTGACATACACAAATTAATGATTTGAATATATTTATTGAATGTTGTCTATAGTGATATTTTTGGGGCTGAAATCTCCACTTACCCATCCTATTGGTATTATATATCTAAGGTCAAACTTGTTTTTAAACTCAGATCCATTAGATTACTTTGTTCGTTTTAATTTGATTATAATGTAAACTTACACTGCATCCATGAAGTGGTCACCTGATCAGGAGCATTTAAAAGACTCACAGCATGAAAAGTACAATACAGTTCCCATCAATACAGCATGCATTTGACCTGACATCCTACTACATCTGATTTTGGCATGAAACAAAGCAAACAAAATCATATTGGCTCACTGATTGTACAAATGCAACATAGGAGTAATAGGCAGCCATTACCTGCAATGTACACAATAATACAATTACATATTTACTTGCTATCACAAGTTCAGATATTTTTGATGCCATTTAAACCTGTGGAAATTTGACAAGTCATTTATCCAATTTGTTGTAGTCAGTTTGCCAATGCGATCAATAATCAAATGAGCTTATTTTCTGTTTACTTGTACTTGCAGGTCAGTTTGCTGAGAATGAGACAAATGAAATTAATTTCAGGGAAATACCGTAAGTATTTAGCGAGTTCTTTGTCTTAAATCTCGTCATACTCTCGGGTTGACTGGATGATCACATAGTGAATCCAAGTATTTAGGTAACTTTCTAAGAAAATTGACTAGTAGATTTTTATTGTGATAATTTCTTGTTTCTCACTGGCTTCAAACATTATTCATCAGACATAAAGACAATTGTTTCTTTATTGTTGGAATAGAAATATTGTTAAAATAATTATTGACCTGTTTTGGGTTTGATTTTTGTTGTATAAATACTAATATTATCAGATTATATGTAGACAATACCACACATGTGTAAAATGCAATCTGAGATGTCAGAGGAACACATGCAGTATTGCTTTACATATCATTAATTGTTCTTTCAATGCATTTTATATTTTCTTCAAAACTTTGCTCATCACATTACCATATTTATGATTAATTTGCCTCCTGAAAGCTTGAAACAAACAACATTGATAGACAGAATTGAAACTACGTTCTGGACAGTATATAATGTGTCAAACTTAATTACCATAACATAAAATGGCTCTAAAATGTTCAGAGCCCATTTCTGTGTGAACTCTTGATTAAATCAATGTATAACAAACCCATGATATTCAGTCAGAAACTAAGGAGTTCTTGATAATGGGGTAAAACAACATCTTGTATTATATGATATAGTGTGAAAACTGACTAGATCGCAATAGTAAGATGTATTAGGAACCATAGCTAATGTCCAGTAAATGAATATAGTTTTTGTCTTTCTTACAGGTCACATGTACTGCAGAAGGTTTGCATGTATTTTACCTACAAAGTGAGATACACTAACAGTTCCACAGAGATCCCAGAATTTCCTATCGCACCCGAGATCGCTTTAGAGTTACTGATGGCGGCAAATTTCCTGGATTGTTAAATGACTCACGCTTTATTTGTAAATTGGAAATTAATATTTGAGGATTCTCGTATATAATGATGATTCAGTAACAGTAATCTGCACTTGGGATAACAGCTGTGCACATTATGATTGAGCAAACAAATCCAACCTGCTGTTGTAACCATCTCCAATATTTGTTTATTGTGGTTATTTCGGAATGGTAAGGATGTGTATTCAAAAGTTGTAATATCAAAAGAACTGAGAATACAAACAGAGACAAAGACAACCCCAGATCTGATGCAAGCTTGAAGAATGAACTGTTTGTTGGTATTGTTTGCATGTGAGATGTATTTATCATCCTCTTTGTCTGCAAGTGACCTATAGTTTAATACACAAGATAACTGAAAAGTATAAGTACCTTTTTTTTACCCTTTCTTAATTATTCTTTGTGAATGTTGTTACTATTTATTATTAAATATTGTGATATTTCATCACATTATGTATACGTGCATCAGGTGTAAACAAATAGAAGTACACATTTCAATTCCAGCTAGTCGTGTCTGTACCTACTTTTCACAATAACTATCAACGATTTCCTTACAAGAGGGAGATTCTTCATTGTTCAATTTCAGTTCACGAGATCTGTTTTGGAATAACACATGCAAAAATAAGGGTAATTGTTTTTTCCCCCAGGAAGTATTGCACACTGTTTTGATTTCACTTCATTGCATTACTTATTTATGTAGAACAAAAATGTATAGCAATATAACTAAGTATGTATATATAGCTGATGCTTTGTGATATCCAAGTGAGTAGGCAGGTCTGTGTACGTTTAAAAAGAAATATGTAAACCCTCAACATTCATTAAAATTCTATCCATTTTATTGAATTGTTTCTTTTAGTTTTGTTTTCTGCCGAGTATTGTGCTGCTCTCTAGTGAAGAGAATGTATCATCATCCTCATCCTCATCATCCTATATACATACTTAACAATGTACCTGTAACATATCAAATGTGACACCTGACCTTTCTTATACGAACCCTGTATAAAGCTATTCAATATGAAGCAACAGTGAGCAGGACTTGGTGACAAATCATATTGAAATGTGATCTTGAAGGTGTTGCTGGATATTCATACCCCTGCTTCATGAATGATATGGGAATCAAACTTTGCAGTTTCACATTCAAAAATGAGGCCACTGTGAACTCAATTTGACCATATGCCTTGACCTCCAGTGCTCCAGTAATGGCTTCTTGAGAACATCTCAGCCTGTTCATGAATTGGCATCACACTCGGTAATATATAGCTATAGGTGCATCATGAAAAAGGGCAGCGTGTCTCATCCTAAATCGAGGTCACTATGACTTCAATTGAACCTTTGACCTTGACCTCAATTATTAAATTAAGTGTACACTGGTTTTTTGATCATATCTTAGCCACTGTATGACAGTAGAGGTTTTTTAGGTCACCTGAGCTTTGCTCAAGTGACCTATTCCAA